TGAAAATCCTCATTAAAGCGGGATGTTTTTTAACATGGTTTTGGGTGCTCAAAAAATGCTAATAACTCGCCTCAATGCTTAATTTAAAGACTTTTTTCCTCCTCCCATCACATTGATTTAAGCGCCCACTCCCGTTTAAAGCTAAAAAATATCCAGTTATTTCAATGTTGCCGTTTCCCTGATTATAGCACTGAATAACTGTTGAAAATTCTCATTAAAGCGGGATGTTTTTAACATGGTTTTGGGTGCTCAAAAAGAAAAATTCTAATAACTCGCCTCAATGTTTAATTTAAACTCGTTTTGCTCCCCCCCCCCTCACATTGATTTAAAAGCCCACTCCAGGTTAATGACCAGCAGAGTTGCCGCTTGTCTAAAAATATACAGTAATTTCAATGTTGCACACTGAAAAGCTGTTTAAAATCCTCATTAAAGCGGGATCTTACGCTGATTTAAACGCCCACTCCAGTTTAGTGATCAGCAGAGTTGCCGCTTGTATAAAAATRTCCAGCAATTTCRATGTGTTCGTTTCCCTGATTAAAACACTGGAAAACTGTTAAAAATCCTCAAGAAGCGGAATGTTTTCAAACATGGTTTTGGGTGCTCAAAAAGAAAAATTCTAATAACTCGCCTCAATGTTTAATTTAAACTCGTTTTGCTTCCCCCCCCCCCTCATAGTTGCCGCGTGTCTAAAAATATACAGTAATTTCAACGTTGCACACCGAAAAGTAGTTTAAAATCCTCATTAAAGCGGGATCTTTTTTAACATAATTTTGGATGTTCAAAAAGAACATTTTTGATTAACTCACCTCAATGTTTAATTTAAGGATTATTTTTTCTCCTGACATCACGCTGATTTACACGCCCACTCCAGTTTAGTTATCAGCAGAGTTGCCGCTTGTATAAAAATATTTAATAATTGCAACGCTGCAGTTTTCCTGCTACACTAACCCAAACTAATCATCAAACTAGTACTAGTATCAACAGAGAAAATTAGCAAAATAGATCATAAATACTGCTTCATTTAAAGAGTGTTTTGGCTGGAAAAATTGACCACATTTTCTTCATCCACTACTTCAGCTCACTGCTTTCATTATTATTGCAAAGAAGCTAAAAACCAACCAATGGAAATCCGTATTAAATGAAATAATCAAAAGGATTTTAGGAGCTCATGAAGAAATAACGCTAGTGTTCCTCCTGTTTCCGCTATTTCCACCTCTTATCAGTTATTTTAAACGCCCACTCGTGTTTAATGCCCGAGCTGCGCTGCCGCACTTATCAAAAAATCCTGTAAGTAATAACAATTGTGATTCAAATTGAAACTGGTCAGAGTGCTAGCTGGGGTTGATTCTGAAGAAACGTTTAGCGCCCAATTAGTGTTTAATGAACATCAACGATCATAATGGCACAATTAATCTCATATCAGCCAGGAAAATTAGTTGAAGATCGGTATTCAAAGCCTGCTTGAACAAGAACCAAACAAATGGAGGCTCTAACTCTAATAACTAATAAGCCTAGTGAATAGGAGATTTGCTTCAAACAGGCGCCGACCAATTGTCGATTAAAATCCCCCAAATCCTCCACCCCGCAAATGTTTTAATAATTTCGATCAGGGTAAAATTCGTATTTTATTGTATTTATTAAAAGTGTATATTAAATTGATAAAGAACTGTTTGCGACCAGGGTTAGGACGATTTTAATCCGAGAGCTTTAGGACCGGTGTTTCGGTTTTGCCACACGATTTTCCATGTAATAACACAAAGGTAGGCAATTTTAGGTATGAAAATGTTGAATTTTTTTGTTTTTAGGCTAATTTGTATGAATAGCATTGTTTAGGATTCAACGCAGTGGGAGGCAAAATGTGAAAAATGCCCGAGCTGAATTAATCCTTTTCTGCCGGTCAGATCAGGTGGATTTAAAAAAAAAACAAAGTTCCCAAACTGGAGTTCGACAAAGCGACCCGGCATTTTCCACATTTGCGTTCAATACCAAAACGAAGTAAAAGTTTTCATTGAGGTTCTGCAAATATTCGAATGTACGACCGAATGTTTCTAGTACAGAAATCAAAATTTATGTAATGATGCTGGTGTAATTGGCCCGTTTTGTAGATGAATTTGTACGTTTCGTCCGCATCTAATGCAAAGAAAAAATGGGACGACTAATCGTCTCCTTAGTGTTTGTGGCGATAAACGCAAACGTGTTTAATAATTAGCGATTTACCTACATACACTAAAAATGGCATTCCTCGTAATCTTTGCAAACATTGAGTAGTTTAGTGCCTTCAGAATTTTAATTAATTTGTCCTAAAATGAATGAAAATCTTCACAATTGCGGCAGAAATTTTCTCAATTTTATACGCTGTAAGATAAAGGAAAATAGTACGTAGTCTCCATGTGATTGATGCAATATTTTAGCGTAATTATAGACCACATAAAGCCTAGATATTGTACGCAATGGGAAATACATTGAAAGAATTGACTATAGTGAAGATTTGAATATCCGAAATTATAATGAAGGTTTTGTGTTGTTGCTGTTGAATTTTGCACGTCGGTACTATTTGATAAATCAAGCTAAACCCCAGGCCATATTCGACCATTTAGTGTATCTAGGTAAGACAGTGTACGATTTGGAGCATTGATTCCAGAGATTCAAATGACTAATCTTATGTAACAATTTCATTGTGAGCCATAGATAAATATGTTATTAATAAACTTGTAATGTAAAAATACATATACATATTAAGTCATTTAATTGTTGTTTTTGTACATTTTTGTTACAGCAGCGTTGTAAAATTTTAGTAAATATAATAAATATTATGTAGTTTAAAATTGTTAGTCTTTTTTATTTCGATTTTTAGTGTCTGCTGCTTTATGAGCGTTTCCGTTGCATAATTAGGTTTTTGGGCAAAAGGCTTCTGAAACACACTTTTTAGCCCCCTTGTCTTTGGAGCCCCAAAACTTCGGCAGATTTTTCGACTTTTCTAAAACTGTTGGCGCATTTGAGAGGCCATTAAATTTAGATAATTTTTTGCCTCTTGAAGGTTCTTCATTATTTGCATGGTTTTAAAGGAAAAAGCAAACTATACTCGAGGGCACAAAGCGACTCCTACGAAATCCTGTTTATAGATTTTGCTGTTACTTTTTTTCGCCACTCCGTAATATAAAATAAACCAAAGTTTGCACACTGATGTTTTATGAGACGCAAAATGCGATCGGGTTGGGTTTTTGAGCAAAAGGCCCCTTGGGCTTTTGAGCGAAACTTTTTTGCGTCCCTTGTTTTTGGAGCCCCAAAACTTGGGCAGATTTTTCGAGTTTTCTGAAACTATTGGTGCGTTTGAAAGGCCATTGAATTTCGATCATTTTTTGCCTTTTGAAGGTTCTTCATTAAATGCACGGTTTTAAAGGAAAAAGCAAACTRTACTCGAGRGYACAARGCGACTCATACRAAATCCTGTTTATAGACTTTTTTGTTAATTTTTTTCGCCACTCCATAGTATAAAATAAGTCAAAGTTTGCACACTGATGTTTTATGAGACGCAAAATCCGATCGTGTTGGGGTTTTGAGCGAAAGGTCCCTTGAAGACACTTTTTTACGCCCCTTGTCTTTGGAGCCCCAAAACTTCGGCAGATTTTTMGAGTTTTCTGAAACTGTTGKCGCATTTGAGAGGCCATTAAATTYAGATAATTTTTTGCCTCTTGAAGGTTCTTCATTAAATGCAAGGTTTTAAAAAAAAAAGCAAACTTTACTCGAGGGTACAAGGCGACTCCTACGAAATCCTGTTTATAGATTTTGTTGTTAATTTTTTCGCCACTCCGTAGTATAAAATAAACCAAAGTTTGCACACTGATGTTTTATAAGACGCAAAATGCGATCGTGTTGGGTTTTTGAGCAAAAGGCCCCTTGGGCTTTTGAGCGAAACTTTTTTGCGTCCCTTGTTTTTGCAGCCCAAAAACTTGGGCAGATTTTTCGAGTTTTCTGAAACTACCGGTGCGTTTGAAAGGCCATTGAATCTCGATCATTTTTTGCCTTTTGAAGATTCTTCATTAAATGCACGGTTTTAAAGGAAAAAGCAAACTATACTCGAGGGCACAAAGCGACTCATACAAAATTCTGTTTATAAATTTTGTTGTTAATTTTTTTCGCCACTCCAGAGTATAAAATAAACCAAAGTTTGCAAACTGATGTTTTGTGAGACGCAAAATGCGATCGTGTTGGGTATTTGAGCGAAAGACCCATTGGAAACACTTTTTTATGCGCCTTGTCTTTGGAGCCCCAAAACGTCGGCAGATTTTTCGAGTTTTCTGAAACTATCGGTGCGCTTGAAAGGCCATTGAATTTCGATCATTTTTTGCCTTTTGAAGGTTCTTCATTAAATGCACGGTTTTAAAGAAAAAAGCAAACTGTACTCGAGGGTACAAGGCGACTCATACGAAATCCTGTTTATAGATTTTGATGTTAAATTTTTTCGCCACTCCAGAGTATAAAATAAACCAATGTTTGCAAACTGATGTTTTATGAGACGCGAAACCCGATCGTGTTGGGTTTTTGGAAAAAAGGCCCCATTAAGACACATTTTTGGGCCCCTTAGCCTTTGGAGTCGCAAAACTCTGGCAGATTATTCGAGGTTTGAAAGGAGCAACAGGGACTTTTATTTCGAGTTTTTTCGACTAAAATTTTGCTGGAAAAATGCAAACTCAACATGCTACTTGCGACCTTAAGGTCGTGATATTTTAAAAAACTCAGCAAACCTTCACAAATAACACAAAAAGCATTTCAAAAATTCATAAGAAACAGGCGATAAATGTTGGCATAAGAAACCAATTCATTTATTAACTTTCAAAATTGCCAAACGCGTAAATTGCTCCTTTCTAAAAGCTTCTGCTTCATTTTTTTGGTGTGTTTGGCCAAGTGCATTTTTTCGGCCAAAGTTCTAGAAAAAGCACTACGGAAAATTGCGACAAACACAAAAATACACCGGGAGCTGAGAAACAAAAAGTCGTAAATATCGGAAAATCGTTAAATGTATTTTGTGCAAATAGAACTATCAGTATAATAAATATTTCAAATAGCAAAAGCAGTAATATTATTCGAAAATATATCTATATAATTTTAGCATCGTAAGATGGGTACAAAAGTTTTAATTTCCGGCGCAAAAAAGCGAATAAATCAACGTGTTAAACAAAGTTATAAACATAATAAGAATCAGAACAAGATGGAGAAATTAAAACTTTTGTCGACTAAAAATGAATGAACAATCTAGTTGTGTAAAACTGGACAATGCATATAGATTTAGCAGGTAAAATATCACATATTTCATTGTAAAAATATACGTAATCGTTACACAGTGTAAACAGAACTGACAAAATCACAACAAGTTAAAAATCCAACCTATTCCATTGCGAGATGATGGAGCAAATCTAAAGCAAAGCATCCAGTCTGGATGCTTTCCTTTGAGCTGGCCCAAACAGTCATGGCAAATGGAATAGAATGGATAAGGCAATCTTCATTACATACAGGGCAGGACATTCTTAAATATTGTCGAATCCAAAAGCAGTTAGAGTAAAAAAATATCGATTTAATTTGATTGTCATTCTTAGAAAGTGTCTAGTTTCAGACCTACCAGTAAAACTCACCAATTTAAAGGCTTAAAAAATTGCAATTAAAATCAGTTGTACACTTTCAAGTTTCATGCCCTGTACATCGCAATACCCTCTACCTACCTCTCACACTAAAACATCAATCATAAAAGCGTTGGGTAGAAAGCCAGATGGGTCTTCCTACTGATAATTGAGGTAAAATTATAAATAGTTTAATAATTATCTGGGAAATAAATAAATAAATATTGCAATAAATCAACTAGAACTACGACAGGCAACAATTGCTAATCCAACAAATTCGTTTCTGGTAGCCACTTCCGTCTACCAAGTTGGACTGTTTTGATTTGAGTGCGAACGTGAACTGCTGTTTTTTCGTTCAGCTCCTGGTGCAGCCGAAAATGTCGAATTTGCTTTTTTCAGTTCTAAAATCATCAAAATCAATTCAAAAATATTATTTCAAACTTGATTTAACAGCTGAATCAATTTTGCTAGCCAATTTTGAAAATTCTGGCAAAAATACAGGGGCAATTTGGAAAGATCCCAGCTCGAAAAAAAGTGGTTTTTGGCTAAATTCTTCTTTGGTACTAATTGATCGATTTAAATATTTTGTTTTGTAATTGGTACCGTAATTATTTGGCTCCTATTGCAAGAGTACCCAACATTTAATCGCTATTTTCCTGGACTTGGGGAAAACACCGAGAAACTTTTTATTGTTTCTTTGCTTTTATTTCTCTCTGCATTGCGGTTTTCCTTCAAACCAAACAGATACCCTCGTTTGATACTGCGCCTTTTACTAAACATTTGATTTTTGATTTTTAATGTTAATGTTTAAATTTTCACCTGTAATTCTGCAAATTTGACACTCACTTTTCGTACAAAAAAATAAAATTTAAGTTTAAAATTTTGAGTTTTCAAAAATGAGGTTAAAAAATGTGGTTTTTCGGCTGTAACAGTCAAAATATTCCATAATCCAAAGTTGAAATTTAGAACGCTTAGCTTGGAGCCAAAGCCTTCACTGCATTTAAAATTTTCATAATGTTTCTCCAGTTTAAAATGTCGAAACTGTATCCTCTAAGTGAAAATTGCGTAAGATTTTAACCGACAAATTTTATCTAGAAATAGAAATTTCAGCTTAATTCTGCATTTCAGAATAGAGAGTGGTGGATTTAAAACGAAAAACGTGGAAATCTAATTTTTAACTTGCAAACCCCAAAATTCCCAGTTGATAGTCGCTTTTTTAAGCACACTTTTTTCTCTTAACGTTGCGATTGCTGTTGCAAATGAGCAATTTTTAAAAGAAAAGGTCCAGTGAGTGAGTAATTTACGGAGAAAGTCAAAAGAGATTTATTTCGTATGTTGAAGAAGTCAACATTCAAAGAGTAAAGTCGCCATTTTCAGCTTAAATTCGACGATTTTCGCTTCAAAATGCGATCTCTCGCTCAAAAACTCAATTTCTAAATAAAAATTTGCAACTGTTCATGGAAAAAACCAATTTAAGTTTCCTTTATGGGAGGTTTAAAAATACGATTTTATGTTTTAAACAGTCAGATCTCCATTTCGAAATCACATTTTTGAGTTTGAAATCCACCAATCTCATTGAAAGTTAGACATTTTTTACAGTTAATGGAAATAATAGCCAAAAGATTAAACTATAAAGCAAAAAAATATATATTTGCATCAGCTAATTGGTAAAAACGTTAGACAAATTTGCTAATTATCTAATGTTCTTAGCAGTTTGTTTTCTGTGAAGAACAACAGCACAGCAAAGAAACAAAAAAAGTATCTCGTAAAAAGTGGTTGAGGCTACAACTACAATTTATAATTTCTTCCTCTAATTCTGAATTTAAGTTAAGAATTTTGAGTTTTCTTAAATGGAGTATCAAAAATGCGATTTTACGGTTATAACAGCCAAAATATTTGCAATTTGCAGTCGCAACGTTAAGTAGACTCATTTTAAATCTCAAGTCTAAAGTTGAAATTTAGAGTTTAAAGTTGGAGTAAAATTAAGTGATAAAAGTGCAACGTGGGAGAATTAAGTGATAAAAATGCAAACAATTTACGATTTTAAAGTATGCAATTATTTAACTTTCGAGTCGAAAAGCAACAGCTTATTTTAAAGGAAATTTTCAAAAATAGTAAGCATGAATTTGGAAAGAGAAAATTTGGAATTCATATCAACATTTAAAATTAATTAAAATCCCGATTCGCGCAAATGAAGCAAATTTGACTTTGCAAAAATGTTGACCTCTCATATGGTTAAAGAAATTGAGTGGAAATTTTGCATTTAAAGTAAAAACTTTATTTTTAAACTCGTAAGTTTTCAGGTGTGAGAAGTCCAAACCCTTTTTATACACCTTAACGTAGATTGGTCAATTTTCCCATCGCAAATATGCCGATATGAAACAGTTTAATAAGCAAAAGCAAGTTTTTGTTTCAAAAGCTTACAGCCAAAGGCTGCATTGCAAATTAAATTGTCATAATTTTTCTCCATTTTAAAATGTCGAAAATTTTAAAGACTTGAAAGGTTGAAACAAATTGAAAATTTCATTCAAAGCAAAAATTTTACAGTGAAACTGAAAACGTAATTTTTAAGTTGCAAAACCCACAATTCTCGGTTTATAGTCGCTCTTTTAAGCCCACACTTTTTCTCTTAACGATGCGATTGTTGTTGCAAAAGTGCAATTTTCATTATTAAAAGAAAAGTTCCAGTTAAAAATTTACGGAGAAAGTCAAAAGTTGTTTATTTCGTATGTTGAAGAAGTCAACATTCCCAGTGTAAAGTCGCAATTTGCAACTTAAATTCGACGTATTTTCGCTTCAAAATGCTCAAAAACTCAATTTAAAATTGGAAGAAAATGAGCTTCAGAAAGTTTCAGTTTTAAATCTGTTCAGTAACGAAATTGCTACTTATAAAAAGACTTTCCAGTTGAAATTTTGAATTTGAAACCGGAATGGGTAAATACATCTGAAAATTTGCATTGATTCATGGAAAAAACAAATTTAATTTTCTTTTGGAAAACTCGACCTTTACTAGTTACTACTTATTAGAAAGTTAGACATTTTTTACGGTTAATGGAAATAATAGCCAAAAGATTAAGCGATAAACCAAAAAAAAACATATTTGTGCATTGGTTAAATGGAAAAAATGTTAGAAGAATTTGAACTTCAGCAAAAAAGTCGGTGTTCCCACTTTTTTTAGAACTGAATGTTGAAACGGGTTGAAGGAATTTTTGCATTTTTTTCTTATTCCTTCGATAAAGCAATTGCAAGTTTTCCAAGTATCTCCTGTATAACTTCCACCTACCAGATATTGCCAGCAGTATCTTCTTTCGAGCCCCAAAGGCAGTAATCCCAATATGGATCAAATCTCGGTCATTCAATGTGGAAAATATGCCCAAGTCAATTTCGTGCTGGTTAAAGACAGGAATATAATGGTCTAGCTTCATGGCAGTCAGCATTGAGGGTAAATCGCTCCAGTTACTAAAATAGAAACAATAAAAAACTACCGGAAATATAATTTATTTTTTAATAACAATTCTCTTGAGCAGAGATTTAGAAAACTTGGTGCAGTTGCATGGCCAGTTCGACCACCCGACTTATATCCTCGTAATTATTTCCCTTGGAGCTCGTTCAAACAGCTGGCTGATGTGAAAAATCCTGTTTTTTGCCTCGATAAATTAAAAATCTTGAAACTCAATTACTAACGAATTTAAGGGTTGCCCTTAAAATGACTTCGGCAAAACATCCTTACAAACACACAATTGTTTTTATTTGTAAATTTGTAATTAATATTTAAAATCATTTCAGGCAATCATTTAGTTGTAAAAATGGTTAAATGCGGTCTGTCCTTTAAAAATTGGGATATATTGGGAAATGGAATTTTCGGAAAATGTTCACAATCTTTAGAAGACACTTGACTGTAAAGGTGTGGAAAGTTTCATAAAAATCGGCAGAACAACCATAAAAGTTATCAAACGATGTAATTTACAGTTATCGATAAATTGGATCATTTTGTTAAAAACATTGAAATTCTTTTAATGTTGATGCATCGTCGTGAATGAAAAAATAAAATGTTAAGCAAACATGAAGTCTAACAAGCGCATGCAGATTATTGTATTGCGCCTTAATTTTCTTCCACAGGGTGTTCATAAAATTAGGTAAAAACTCTTGATTTCACCCTGTATAATTACAAACTAATTCAAAGTTGTGGAAAAATTCATATTTTTTAATGAAATGAAAATGTCTACAGTAGCCCGACAAAATATCAAAATTGATTAACAACTAAAAAACTGAGTAAAATTTAAATTGATTTGGACCAAGAAATGTGTTCAAGCGCTTGATCAAGTGTTGAATCAAATCCTCGCCAATGTTGACCATTTTTTTTCCAGAAATGAGACTTTCAGAATATTTCAAGCGAAGATATTTCTTTAAAATTCTCTAACAATTGCGGTTGAGTCTGGCACAGTTTTCGTACACTGATTTTTTGAAGAAACACCTGCACAACTAGGAAATGTGTTAGAGCTTCATCGAGGATTGACTCAAATCCCTGCCAATGTTTACGCGATTTTTTTTAACAAATTAAATTTTCA